ATTTAACAAAGTAAGTCATGAATAAGATTTCACATAGATATCATGCACACATTATGCCGAGGTCATACATCCTGGTCCAATTGAAAAGAAACTGTGCAGTACTGCCAGAAGATCGAATGGCGCGAACCATAGATGCATCTATTTCTACCGAGGCAATCGGCCCGATCCACAAATATCAATTATCATCAAAAAGGTGCATAAAGGCGCATTTATATTCAAATAATTCATACAAGTGTTCAAGCAAGTGCATACGTTCACATATGTTCATTTCCAAATCTCTAGCATATCCTTAGTGATCTCATTAGCATGAAAGGATATAAACATTCACAAATATGGCATGATACGGGTCCTAAATTACCCAGACAATTAACATAATAGTAGCTACGTACGGACTCTCGTCACCTAGTGCGTACATAGCCCCCGCATTTAGTGGCAAATTATTCAATTATTTCACCTATGGAGACAATTCCCTCTTACAAGGTTAGAAAGGCGACTTACCTCGCTTCAAAGCACACTTCCAATACCAAGAACGTACTCAAACTCTCAATTTGGAGCCGAACGATCCAAAATAATTCAACGAGGTAGGAACTAGTTACTACAAGCTCACAAGATCGCTTTCTAACCATTAAAGTAATTTTCCAACCCAAAACACAAGTTTCCTAAAATCCGACCCTGGGCCCACGCGCCCGGATTCCGAAATTTTTCGAAGAAAGTTGTTTAGGATCAATAATATATGATTTCTACTTCATTCCATAATAAATTTCGTGGTTAAATCTAACTTTTATCAAAACCCTAGGTTTTGCTCTAATCCCATGATTTTTTGCTTAATCTTTGTGTGTTAATCTATCCAAGGTTCAAATATTAAACTAGAAATAAGTAGGATGAACTTATTTCAAGATGCTAGGTGGAATATCTCTCTTAGAAAGCTCCCAAATCGCCCAAACAATAGTGGAAATATGTCAAAAATGATAATAATTCTCATGGGGAATCAAGAATATAGACACCCTACTATTTGTATGAATAGAGTAATTTATGGAAACTGTGTATTTGCTCGCTTCTTTAGTATAATTTGGATCATGCCAAAAGAAAGGAGGGAAGGCCTTAACATACCTGGAGTAAGGAAAACTCTGTATAATATTCCGTTGAAAACCCTCGTGGATTGAACTTAGAACTTCAAAACTTGAATTAACCTTGTGCGCTTTTAAATTGATGAACGAAATCGATCCTGTGAAGATTTTTGTTATATGCATTAAGAAAGAAGTATAAAAAAAATCCATCGTACACAAATTTTCTTGAATAATATGATTGGTGCATTTTTCTGCAAAATCAATATATACATAAACATATATGTTATCTAATTCTATATCATCGTTTTGTTTTATAGAGATTTCTTGATGTATGTTAAATTCTTTCTTTTTTCTTCTTCGTTGTCATAATTAATATATTAGTTCTTTGTCTAGAAACTTTCATATATATATATATATATATATATATATTTACCTGTGTTAGTGACTTGTTTAATTACTTCAGTACAACTTTTGCAGCCTTCACATATTTACTGTTTTGCTTGGCAACATAAAAAAAATACCAAAGCTATTTTTTGTTTCCTAGTTTTCCTTTATGTATTCTTTATGTTCTCCTAAAATCAATAGTCAAATAAAAAAGTATTTCTATTTCTTCATTGATATTCTTAGATTTCTGTTCCCTTTCCAACAAATGATTATTAAAGTATTACCACAAATAAATGGTTACTATCTTTTTCTAATAATGACTATTATTTCTAATACTAATGGTAAATACTGTATTTGTAGAAATATTTGCCTATTTGTTAAATAAAATATTCATAATCAATTAATTATAAGATCTAGTATCGAAAAAAGCCATATTTTTCATTGTATTTTATTTACATTATGAAAAGTAGGTTAAAAAAATTGTTACAGAAAACTAAAAACTAAAAGAGGTAAGCGTAATATTATTTGCCATGGGAAAAGTAAGTGTGATAGAGAGAAATGTGAGAATATCTCTAAAATTACCCCTACAATTTAATAGCCAATGTTTAAGTAAATACTTATCGATTGAAAACTTAAGAGTAGCAAAAAGTTTGGTGTGAGAGGAAATATAGAGGCAAAATTGACCTTGCAATTAATAGCCTGTTTGTCAAGCTTCTTCTTAGTCCAAAAGTGGTTTTTTTTTTTCAAAAAAAGTAAATTTTTTTTAAAATTTGAGGTATTTGGCCAAGTTTTTTTTTGAGAAAAAAATGCTTTTGGGAAAAAGTAGAAACACTTTTTGAGAAGTAGAAAAAAATAGTTTCTCCCCAAAAGCAAAAACAATTTTTACTTTTCTTCTTACCAAAATATCCTTAGCAAAATGTAGTATATTCCAAAATAGCTACTTGTTCTAAATCTAATACTTAAGATATTAATCTATAAATATCCTTTCTTATTTTTATGATAGCTTTCTGATATACTTATGGGGTGAATGCCTTTTTTATATGTTGACTAATTTTGTGATATATTTAAATCATCTTGAAAGAATTGAAGTGCTTTTTAATTTTATTTTCATATTTTACTTAAATAAAATGAAAAAAATTAATTATATTTTTTTGGAATTATTTATTTACTTATATAATATTAACTATTAAGTAAATCTCTTCATGTCTCATAATTGATACTTAAAAGCACTTTTTGAAAAGCTTGACCAAACACAAATTATTACTCAAAAGTGTTTTTCAAATTGATTAGCCAAATACAAATTGCTTCTCTCCAAAAGTATTTTTTCGAAAAGCACTTTTGAAAAAAACACTTTTCAAAATAAGCTGATTTTTCCAGCTTGGTCAAACAGGCTATAAATTCAGTGACAAGAAATGCAAAAATTATGGCGGAGTTTCCTTGAAAAAGAAATTTTTTAATTGATTTTAGTGTCCTAAATATTATGACTTCTTACTTAATTCAAATAAGTAATGACTTAATAAGAAAGATTTTAGTTCATTTTGAATTCTTAAATATTAAAAAATAATTTAAAATATAATTTTATCCAATGTGAATTCTATTTCTAAAAATTAGAAAAGCAAACGACATTTTGCTAAAGAATTTCGTGCTTTTAATATAGTAATATAGAAATACAATTTAAACAACTAACTAGTACTTTTTAGTTTTTCGTAATGGTAAGTAAGTAGGTGTTTGCACATAAATTCCAAGATTTTTTTTTTCAAATTTGGAATTTCACTGAAATTTGATTTGAAGATGAAGTTGTGTTTGGTTATCATTTTTGCAATATATTTGGGTATATTTTTTTCAAAATCATGAAACATGATTTATACTCAACAATTTGTAAAAAATATCAAATTACCCCGAATTGATTATCCTATTTGAAACAAACAATCAAATATGCTTATTGTTTAACCGTTATCATATTATTTTAAAATCTTCTTAAAATAATCATGTATACAAGATAAGCTGAGAAAAAAGTATCAAAGGCCGCCGCCACACACTTTGGTGAGAAGAAGATATGCCTGCTACGTTTTGTGTCTTTCTTTATGGAAGGGGAAAGTGCGTAGTTGATGGTTACCTATGTTTTAATTCTAGTGGCTAACTGATATAAAGATTGGGTCCTTTTATAAAATCCAAAAATATAGGGAAATTTCTAAAACTTGAAAGTACTAATGTTATAATTTTTCAGTGAAAACTAGTTCATAACAGTTTTTTAAATTTGAAAATCCATTTTCAAGTTGGATTCAAAAAATTATACAATTTTCATAACCAAACATTGTTTTGAAAAGAAAAAAAAATTGGAAAAACGAAAAAAAAATTATGTTCAAACGGGGCCTTTAAATCATTTTACTCATTTGTTGTCATCTCGTATAAATCACTAATAACATAATTGTTACTACTTTATATTCTTCGAGAAAGAATGATGTAGTTATGATTTATCTTTTCATTTTACCTTCTTTTTTTAAAAAAAAAAAAAAAAAACTTTGGTCATCTTTTTTAGTATTATACTTGGACAAGGTAAAAATGCAAAAATAATTTGAAATTAAATCAAGATTAACGATTACATTGACCCAATTATTGATAGTGAAAACTTATAATGGTAAAGTAGTTTGATGTGTCATATTCTACAATCTCGTGCTTGTGTATGTGCGCGCTTGTGTGTATTATAAGCTATTTTTACATATAAAAATATGTCAAATCTACGGTAATATGAATTCTGATCGATGCATAGGAACTAAGTTTTACTTGAGGTAGTGCTGTTTAATATTGATTTTATACTGTCGGGAAACGTTATCTGTATAGGAATACAATTTTAGGCCAGCATTCTTCAGAAAAGTCAGTAAAAGAGAGAAGAATATTCATTTTGGAAATGCAGGGAGTTTAAATCAAAATTTGGGACGCAAATTCACTTTCAAGCTTCGAGCTAGTACATTTTTGTTGAAAAGTCCAGAGCAGCCAAAGAACATTAAGCTAGCTGACAGGCAGTCTACAATATTACTAGCAGGAAAGATAATTCAATTTATTTTTATCGGATTGGTTGAATATATTGTTTTCTTTAGCCGAGGGTCTAATGGAGACATCCTTTCTGCCCTCCTAGGGTAGGGGTAAGATCTCCGTGCACACACCCTCCCCAACCACACTTGTGGGAAATCACTGAGCATATTGTTGTTGGTGGATTGGTAAAATATGCTCATATATATTTCATTTAACTTTACCGGAAAAACAGTGCAAACTGAAACAGCAACTTTATCATCAATTTCAGCACAGAGATTAATAACTACCCTCCCAGCCACAGGCAAAGGAGGACAGGACAGATAATCTAACAGAGTAAAATTGGACCTGGTCAGTTCCTGGTTAAGTTTATTAGATTTTACACATAAAGCCAACATTAATCCATTATAAGTTCAAAGGTCACAAAAGATCATCCACAGTAAGTGAACTTGAGGAAAAACTAATACAACCGGAGGCCATTGACTAGACGAATAATTTAACTGGAGAGTAAAGTCAACCATTGTAGGCTTTAGCTGTCACTGGTTAAGCAACTGGAGGGCGGAGCACGTGGTCCTGTGATGTATCAACAGCAGCAGGAGGCATGAATTGCCACATTGCAACACCAGGGTAACTCATGATCGGCACCAGCTTGCTTCCTGGAACTTGACCATGAGGGGCAAAAGCAGCAGGTATGGCAGGAGGCAAGAAACCAGGTTGCGCATTCGTAGTCTTTAGTTGTTGCTCTAGCTTCTCCTTTTCAGCCTTAAGCTTTTGCTTCTCATCTCGAAGCTCATTTTTCTCGGCCTACACAAGTTAACACATGCTTGAAGTTCAGGAGCAGAATAGTGAAGTGATGTTCTAGCTTTTAACTGTCACCACTACAAAACCAAGTAGAATGACAGATGCAAGAAAAAAAAAAGTTTCTATCAAGGATTGCATTGCGAGGGAAGTAATACTAGCCTTTAACTCCTTTATCTTTTCTTGTAGATTCAAATTTGAGTCTTTCAGCTTTTGAGCTTCACCACGTAACTGGGTCACCATGCGAACAGCATCCACCAGAATAGCAGATTTGTCCGTTTTGGGGGGCCTGCCAGGCTCAAGGAGTGCACCCAATTCCGTGAACCTGATAATTAGGTCAGTTTTAGCAATTCATCATGAAATAAAGAGAAAAGTTCTTATATAATGGGTTGTGAGATCACTTGTCATTTAGCCTATCTCTCCGCTGTTTCTCTCTGCAAGCTTTGGAACTTGTTGGAGCACATGATTCAACTCTAGCCCTGTAACAATTACCTAAAATTGTGAGAGAACACATAAATAGGTCGAAAGGATTTCAGACTTACACCTCACCAAATTGAAAGCAGAAGCAACAGATGTTTTTAGAATGATGAATCACAGAAATAAAAAAAGGTAAAGAAATCTCAAAACTTAAAAAAGAGAGAGGGAGGAACGTGTCACCTCACTGATTTAATTAACAATAGTTGAAAACAGCAGCAACTCAAATTAAACTACACCCAATGATTGAGTGCAGCATCACATCCTTATTCAACAACAATTACCGAGATTACCACAAAAATGTCCAGAAAAGGTGAAAGCTCTTACCGTTTCTTAGAACCATTTTCCTTTGGGTAGTCTGATTCACCAATGGATCCATCAACTTCAGCACTAGAAACAAGCACAAAAAAAGAAAAAGGAAAACAGAGGTCAAAACTAAAACAATAAACAGAAGAATCAGGCACATGAAAGACTAAAAATTATGTCAATAGAAACCTAGCAGAATGCACAAACTTGAACTAGAAAGCACAAAATATTTCATGATGCAACTCCCTGCTGATCTATTGAAATTTTTCATACAGCAATAGCTACATAAATTCAGAAATTTTAAATCACGTGCAGTGAACACATCTAGCTGACAATCAAGCAAATTTTAGTCATTCAATTGGGTACTAGAAACATTGAATCCCCCTCCCCAGCATGGCTCAATTTTAGCCAATATTAAAGAACATTATTCCATTTCGTGCTTAATTTACGGTTCTAGTAGTAGAAGCAAAAGATCAATACAGGCGATACTAACTAGTTGAGATTAAGGCTTACTCGTGTTGGTATGCTTACATTAGGTCCAACGTTTTCCAGGAGCTTCTTTAGATTACATTAGGTCCAACATTTACCAGGAGCTTCTTCGCTGTGTTTCGAAACTTATGTCATTTTAAAAGTAAGTGTAGGGATAAGTGTACAACAACAACCACCCAATATAATCTCACATGAGGGGTATGGGAAGAGTAGTGTGTACGCAGACCTTAGACCTTACACCTTACCCATACCCAGAGGGGTAGAGAGACTGTTTCCAATAAAGTGCAGGGACAAGTGTGAGGTGCAAAATTATCTTTGAAGACATATTATCAATACTGTAATAAAATGGTCAAAACAGAGTGGAATCAATACAGAGGATTCATAGCTGGCCCAACTAGTGTCGGATTGAGGCTTAGTTGTCGTGTTGGTTCTTGTAGTAGTACTAGTTGTCTTCTATTCCTTCTCCTCTCTATTTAGCTTCCTTCTATATTCTTCATTTTGTTAGTCTATCTTTAAATATCCCAACACTTCTTTCCTCTGATTTTCCTCTCCATATCTGTTCCTCTTTCTACTCTGCATTGTCTCTTAGAATTCCCGCCTTTCGTTCTCAATGAGTTAAGTGGTACTAATATTTTTTCCTCAATCTACTGCCATCAAGGTTCTCACCAAAGAAATAGCATCCTCCTAGTTTAAGTGTTTCCTATTTTCTACTTCCCTTTAACGATGTTTATGAATATTTTCGCCTATTCCCATCAAACCTTGTCGTAATGTCTACAGTAATATCTGCTCACCTCTTTCTGCACATCGGATGCTCTGTGCTAAAAGTACTTCCCTATCCTCCATCATCAGTACATCCTCCTTCTGCATTGTTTCTTATCCAATCACTGCCACTACTACCAGATTCTGATGATGTCATCACTTCAGTAAGCGAAATGCAGGATTCTGACGGAAAGTAGGTAACACACGAGGGAAGACAAGTCATATATTTCAGTTTTCGACAGTAGTATTATATATTCAACCTGCTACTCCACTAAGGGCTGGACGTTAGGAACCTTATAGTAGCTTGCGCTGAAAACCATTAAGTTTCTACCTTCTCAACTCGGACAAAGAGGAAACTTCAGGTAACTGGACACTTTCAGCATTCCTATCTTAATTCTATAGTTGAATCTAGGTCGGCCTCCAAATTCTTTTCCAAAAGATACATATAATTCTATGTAAAGAATTATTTTTCACTAGACATATGTATTTTCTACTAACCACCTGTAGATAAGATAGTGGAATTCCATTACTTCCAAAATTTTACTAACTTTTCATCCGGAAAATGACAAAAATGAATTGCTTTCATAATCCTAACTTTAGACCTGAAGAACACTAAAAGAAACACTGTGCCATCAAATCACAATAAGATAAAGCAAAGAGGTATACAAATGTGAAATGTTCAAAATATCCATCATGCAAGTTAGACTATGTTTGGGCCCAAAACTAAAACCAGAAAAGACAGCTGAAAAACTAAAACCTAAGATTAGAAATTCCTAATGTGCAGCGTAAAAGTCCCTAAATGTTTAAACTTTATGGCACATAGAGCACAAGCACAGTTGCAGTCAAACGGGTTATCATGACCCAAAATTTTCTAAATCATGGAAAATATAAAGATTCATCAATCAGCTAAAAGATCCTAACTTTACTGAGTCACATAAAAAAAAAAAGGCAAAATTTGAGAAAATAAAATACCTAACATTTCTTGAACCATTCAAGTTTTGCATGGGCCAATTAAACCCAGATGCCGTAGCTGAGAAATTCGAATCAGGGACAGCACTCTCTTCGAACCCATAATCATAAAGCCAGTTGGTATTCTCCGGTGAAACCATCTCCGATCAGTTGCCGAAAAAAAGAGGGAAAGAAATGCTCCCGGCGGGAGGAAAATTTTGGAGAGGAATTTACACTCGAAGGTGTTTAATTGCTATTTGGATGGAAAAGGAATTGGGAATTTGACGATTGGGGAAAATTCAGGAATTTTTTATTTCTGCATAATGGTATTGCGTGTTTTTTCTTATCTTTTTTAAATATTTTTATGTTGTAGTGACAACGCGTTATCAACTGGGCTTCCACGACTTGGACGTGCCGTTGATCAGATGAAATGATTGGGCTTGGGCTTCATCACCGGATTCTCGGAGTGTCATTATCCTGACGAAAATTTGATAATGACGGGTTAACAACTTACATTACACGGTAGCGGCCGGTAAAAATAATACGGGCTAGCCAGTTTTCGGACTGAATATTCAAAAGTAATCAGCATTTGTAATGTCATTGTAAAATAGTCATTATTTTGCTGCAACACGGAATGTTCCAGCATAATATACTGGAGATCGGTGCACCTGTGTATGAACTTCCAGCATATTATGCTGGAACTCCAACACGCGGAAAGTTCCAGTATAATATACTGAAATTGCAGTATATTATACTAAAGTATTTTTCCCCGGATTTTGAACAGTATTTTCGTTCAGATTTATCTTTACATGAAAAGTGGCTAAATTTTAATTACATTTGACTGTGGCTATTTTTGAATAACTACTTATAAATCTGACTATTTTTAAAATTCTCTCTAATGGGTGTGAGCAGGTTATCCAGTGCGCATCCTAAGGATAACGACTAAGGGTTTTCCTAGAATTTTTTTTTCTAATAAAAACTTACATTACACGGTATAAAGTACACCAATTTAGGCAGATTTAGACAGATTTCAGAATTTAAGTTGGCATATTATGTTATATATTATGTTATAGTTACTGTTCCTTTGTGGTTATGTGTACAAATTTAGTACTACTTATATAATAATTCGATACAATGAATGTGTCTGCAACTGTTGTAAGAAGACTGCTTTTGTTCCTTAATTTAATAATATTTCTTTCCTTTGTTTTTTTTTTCCTATGAAGGCAGTACAAATACAAATTACAACAACTGTGTAGTAGATAAAATCATTTTTAGAATATTTATTATATGATGTGAGGAAGTCTTTGTCGATATGCTGTACTAGTTTAGTAACTTAGCTTTTGTTTTATTGAGGAGACCTGCAATCTTAAAATCTAATATAATCTTAATGACATAAAAGATCAGTTCATATTAATTTTTATGAGTCAACAAATTTGTATGTTAGAAAAGAAAACCTTTATAATTACAAGTATAATAACATCAAGAAGTAAAGTATAGGTTGCATAAAATAATGAAGATAGAAACTATGCCGAGTTGTAAGCCTGTGATTGGCTAATAGTAATGTATAAGGATTGAAGATAAGTGGCCTAAATGCCCTATGGTAGTACCACTATCCAAAACAATACAAAATTCTGAAGATGATGTAGACCACAGCAACCTACATAATTTTAGAAATTTTACATAAAATTCATTTCCTTTAGTTTTAGTTTGAGCACAATTATTATTATTAACATAAAAGCTATAGTTCTTAATATATTTCAATCACATCAGATTGAAAAAAATGTAAATAAAATCAACTCTTGCAAAGTTTAAATATTAATTATATATGGTTAAAAGAGGTGCCAAAATACCGTAGAACAGTTGAAGTAACATAATTAATTTAAGACTGCGGTAATACTACATAAAATATATATTTTTAAAAGAAAAATAATAAAACTTAATTGACAAGAAAAGTAGTATATCCGAAGAATTTAGGTAACTATTGTCGAAAAGCTTGTTTTAGGTAGGACTGGTGAATGACATTGAGAATGCAGAAATACCGAGCTTCACTGGTTAGGATTAAGTGGAGCATAATTATTTATTACATATAAACACGAACAAATTGCAGTCGCACAAATTGCGATTAGCCACTAAACAAGAATAATTGAGATATTTTTCTACTATATTTGGTTAGTTTTGGTATGCTGATGTCATATTATTCCTCTTTAAGAATGTCACAATCTTATGATTGGTTAGTTACGATCCATTTGGATGTTGGACCCCTTCAAATATAAAACCCGAAGTGCTCATCCATTCTCTGTTCCATCAATTTTTCTTTTACTTCATTAATTGACTTTTGCTCACATTTTGCCCATGTGTGTGTTAAATATAAATATACAACAACAAATCCATTGTAATTTCGTAAGTAGACATAAGAGTAGGATAGTGTATACGTAGCTTTATCCATATCTTATGGTGATAGAGAGATTATTTCTGGTGGGCCCTCAGCTCGAAGCAAGCATGCAAATCACGACAGTATAAAAAAGAAATATAATAGTATAAAATTTAGGAAAGAGTAAGAACAACAAGGAAGTAGAACAATCAAAACACATGCAACATCAGGCAGTAGTGGAATTTTAAAAATATGGGAATACTAGAATACGCTACTACTACTGGAAGAAAGTGGAAGATGTGCAACTGCTTATTAGTCTTTCGTCCTAATCCTCGCACTCTACACCCGCCTATCAAGGGTCATGTACACGGTGAGCTGAAGATGCGTCATGTCCTGCCTAATCACTTCTTCCCAATTCTTCTTCATCCTACCTCTACCTTCCTCAGACCTACCATCGTCAATCTCTCACACCTACTCACTGGGGCTCCATACATCTCTTCTTCACATACTCGAACTATCTCAACCTCGCTTCCCCCATCTTGTCCACAACGGATACAGTTAAATCTCGTATTTTATTATTAGGATGAGTCGTAGTAATCTATATGAGTTTGAAGGGATTATGTCTATTAGGGGGTTATAGAGGGTTTAAGACATTATTATTAGGAGACCCTGTGTGTTTACAACCTTAATATCGTTAGATATTATGTTAGTGTGGTATTTTCTTTAAGTAAAGTATTTTAGTAAAAGTTTTATAAGTTTAATTTTGAATAGTTACCATTATTACTACTTTTGGATATGGTAAATTATACACATAACATAAGAAAGTTTATAAAAATAGATATTATAAAAATTATATCCACTTGCTATATTATATGGTTCTTTCATTTGCCTTTCTTATATTTATATTAGACAAATATGAAAAAGTGTAAGATTTTTTCCCCAGATTCTTCAAATACACTCTAAATTAATAAAAATGGTGATGTTCTTATATTGGATACGTTTTGGATACATAGCCATGAAATGATTCCATGTTTTAGTTCATTTTGCTTTTTATGTATCACCAGAAAATGGTGTTTCATAAATCTAGGAACATCCAAGTTGAGAGTGATACCTCTCAACTAGTTTAACATCTTTCTAATTTCTTTTAACTTATAATAACTCTTTTCAAATAATGACTGCATATTAGGAATTTCACATTGTTGACTTTCTCGACATATGTTGAAATGGACGATGTGTTTGTTCTGAACCGTCTGAAGATAGTAAAATTAGGAAAAAAATATATAAATTATTTTCTCACCAGAAAAGAGGGTTATCTTTTTATCATTTTAAGAATTAAGCTTACGAAAATTTGTACTCTTTATATGAGATTAGAAAAATTAGAAGTTGAGAAAATATATGTATTTTTACATAGATGTTTTAAATAATAGTGTATGTATATTTATTTTATATAGTACCACATAACCATGATAGTAAGTTATATAAAGTGTGTTAAAAATAAATAGTATTTTAAGTAATTCGAGATAATTCTTAATTATGCGGGCAATTGATTAATTGTTGATTAGTGGGAGATTAACTAGTTAATTAAGAATTAGTGGGTAATTAACTAAAATGTTGGGATAAGGCTTAACAAGCCTAAAACGTGACAGCAAGCAAGGATTTAATAATGACTAAGCTAAGTCTTGGAAGCTAGGTGGAAGTTGGAGAAACCGATAACAAATAATAGGAGGGGCGGCGCTTGGATTCTATATAAACCTTCTCTACTTAGTTAACATTAGTTGCCAAGTTAAGATGATGCCTTATTTTGCTAAGTTAGGATCTTGATAACATCATAAATGTTAGCCACTGAACATGTTACTATTCTCAAAAAAATAAATGTTAGCAACTGAAATATTGTATTTCAAAAAGATTGGACAAGGATAAGTATTAGAGAAGTGATCAGTAAGAAAATATGAGGCATACATAAGACTGAAAAGGTCCTAATTACCATAACCAATCCCATATGATTTGACGTGTGTAAGAAAAACATTTGATCATGTTTAATACCTCATCATTTGTCAACTTATCATCAAAGGAAAGTGATATGGGTACATGTTTTCAAAGACTAAAAATTTCATCTAAGGCATGGACCTACTTAATCCTTTTCTGCTGAAGAACCGAAAATAGAAAGACCTATTTGGCTCTAGATAATGAGACTTACTGGAGCTGCAGTATGGAGTGGTGCACTTAACATTCAATAAGCTTTCCTACTTTAGGTCATGGAAGAATATTTGTATTGGATTAAACTAGTTCATTATGTAGTATCTTGAATGATCCTTCCTAGGTCCTCCATTTGGCATCTAATAATATGATACAAACGTAGATACATTGTTGTATATCGAGGGAGAATGTAAGATTAAGTTGAAAAGACTTTTGTGTGGAGGTATATTGAACAAGTTGAGCTCTTGAGCCACTGAGATAAGACCACGTATGCTAAGGCTATCTCTTCTTTCTTTTTGGCATGATCCACATGATACAACAAAACGAGCAAACACGTAAGTTTCATAAATAATTCTATTCTTAGAAGTACTAAGATTGCCCATGTTATTGATCCCCCATGTGTCCTACTAGCATATTATCTATTCATGAGTCTCATGACATTCCAAGAGATCATATTGGCTTACTTCATTATGCATTGCATTTATTTATACATGTGCATTTACCCATGACCCAGATGGCGTTATATACGCGTATATATATATATATATATACAGATATATGGGATATGGGAAATGTTATGGCATTATATATGCACCACCACCTGATCAGCTGGTATACGTTGATGATTTTGCCCACAGTGGCAGAGATCATATTATGGGACACCCTCAGAAGTCTGATGATGTTATGAAACATGTACCTATGTACGACATGACATTCATGCGCATATGTATGACACTATAATTATTTCATGAATTATAGAGTTATCCAGACTTACAG